GCCACTCTTCCATAAAGGCCAAGTTTGTGCAGTGCACGACTAATAGTTGTCCTATGGACAGATTCCCCCACCTGAGCTGTAGATCTCTGCAGCTCGTCCAGAGTCACCATGGGCCTCTTGGCTGCATTTCTGATCAGCGCTCTGCTTGTTCGGCCTGTGAGTTTAGGTGGACGGCCTTGTCTTGGTAGGTTTACAGTTGTGCCATGCTCCTTCCATTTCTGGATGATGGCTTGAACAGTGCTCCGTGGGATGTTCAAGGCTTGGGAAATCTTTGTGTAGCCTAAGCCTGCGTTAAATTTAAATAACTTTATCCCTGACCTGTCTGCTGTGTTCTTTGGACTTCATGGTGTTGTTGCTCCCAATGTTCTCTTAGACAACCTCTGAGGCCGTCACAGAGCAGCTGTGCAGCTGTTCTGCAAAGAAGAATGGGCAAAGATTTCAGTCTGTAGATGTGCAAAGCTGGTAGAGACAGACCCTAAAAGACTGGCAGCTGGAACTGCAGCAAAAGCTGGTTCTACAGAGTATCGACTCAGGGGCTGAATAATTACGCGCACCCCACTTTGCAGTTATTTATTTGTAACAAATGTTTGGAATCATGAATGATTCTCGTTCCACTTCTCACGTGTGCACCACTTTGTGTTGGTCTTTCACCTGGAATTCCAACAACATTGATTCATGTTTGTGGCTGTAATGTGACAAAATGTGGGAAAGTTCAAGGGGGCCGAACACTTTTGCAAGCTACTGTATATACATAACTTAAGTGACCAATCACAATAGGTTTGGTCTCCAAACTAGACATCACTGAAAGACAGGAGGACGAGCTGCAGAGCTGAATATGCTTCGATTTTTATTAGAAGTGATCCAGATGGGAAGGATTAGAAACCAGTATGAGAGGGACAGGCTGAGGGGTTGAGCTGGTATGGACGTACGCAGAGGAGGATGCTCTCCTGTGGTGAACTCTAAAGAGAGCAGCCAATAGAATAAGCAGGAGGTTATCATAGAGTAACCAACATATTACTGTACTGTTACCAACTGGTGTTGTCTTGGGCATCACACCACCTGCTCCATAATGCTGGGATGAGGAACTGCGTATCCTACTGGTTTGATGCTAACAGCAGCTGGGACCTTTGACTCTGCAGCACCAGCGAGTCTGACGTGACTGTGCATGTTTGTGACCTTTTCAGAAAGTGACTCATGACATGGACATGTGTTACGGCATGATGGGAAGTCTGTTTCGGAGCGGATCCCGGCAGACTCTGTTCGCCTCCCAGGTGATGCGCTACGCTGACCTGTACGCTGCCTCCTTCATCAACCTGCTCTACTACCCCTTCAGCTACCTGTTCAGAGCTGCACACGTGCTGGTGAGAAACCTACACCCGTAGTTGTGAATGCAGTAAGTCGAAAAGCTCTCAGGAGTTTCAGATTCACACGAAGGTCTATCGGTGGGTTCAGTTCAGTACGTTAGACATTTAATACTTAGGCAACCATTTATGTCGAGTATAAAGACCCCCCCGTGCCCACCCACACCCCATGGGGGTCGTTGTTAGAGACGAGAAAGTGATTCTTGATTTCTGTCACTCACTGAACCGTGTCCCTCCCAGATGCCTCATGAATCCACAGTGGAACACACACACGTCAACATCATGGACATGGAGTCGCCGCTGGCCACAAGAGACCGCCACGACGTCGACTTTAAGGAGATCGAGTGCAAAAGACACCAGCTGACCCGATCCATCAGTGAGATCCAGCCGCCGCATTTCTTTCCTCAGGCCCCGCAGGAGATTACCCACTGCCACGATGAGGATGATGACGAGGAAGAGGAGGAGTAGGGGAGGGCCGTGAACCTTTCCCCAGAAGAGCCTGTTTCCATTTTTACGTTTGTCTTTACTTTGATTCGTAGCTGCAGCGAGCGAGTGCTCACAGAGAGGGACTCTCAGTCCGCGCTCTGCTTTTATCTGGGCTTATACGTGCTGTGCTCCATGCTGCGCAATATCAACGGTTGGTTCTCACATGTACCGATTGTGCACCGAGAGTTTGTGCCACGCTGCAGTCACGGCGGACTTCTGCTGTGACTGTGGGAGAATATCAGAAGTTCAAACTGGGTTTGTTGTTGCTGAATATCACGGTCTTCCACTGATGTTAATCTGTGACCAGTCTGAAAGGGCTCTCATTGGTTCAGCTGTCAACATGTTGCAGATGTGCTGTTCCTGGAGTGGGCTGAGATCAAAGTGCCTCAGTGTTATTACAGATGCTGTTCAGTGTACACGCGCTTTTCTTTTCTCATGTTTTTATGCTGCTGCCTTGATTTTAAAGAAACTACAAATATGTCTGACCAATAAAGCTGCAGCGAGGGCCTTAAAGGTTGTAATTTGGCTGTATGCTGGAGTTTTCAGGGGCAGCGTTCCTGCATTGGTACAGATGTGCCAGAGGGAGCAAGACTGGTGCCGACAAACGGGGCTCGTAAAGTATCAGGTAAGATACTTAGATCTGACTGCCAGAAGAGGGAGACAGGCAGCATGTTCAGGGTCGCCAACAGGGTCAGGCTGCTTCGGCTGCTGCTAACGAGCGACTGCAGTGATCGTGCTGCAGGCTGAGACGGGTATTCGTCCTCTGCTCTTCTTTTCTCCTTCCTGTGGGTCAGTTTGAGTGACGGTCCTGTGAGGTCTGAGCTAAAATCAAAGGATGCTTTTTGAACCTGGATGTGCCCAGGAGGACTTTCATAGGACGGACTCATCATAATCCATGAAGCTGAAAGCATGTTTTTATGTTTTATTCAAATTTCATATGTCAGCAACAGAGAGTGCAAATGCTTTTTTTATTTTGAATTATGCTGGGGGGGAATGATAACATGCATTGTTCTGCAGTTGACACGCTTTTTCATGGCTGCAATAAAATATATTCCATTGCTGCTGCGTTTTGATTTTGCTGTTAAATTTGCACTTAGAACAGAATAATCCTTTAATTGTGCCACAAGGGGAAATCTGGTTGTAACAGCAGCCACAAACAAACAGCACACAAACATGCACATTTCTTTTACATTTTTACATCAAGGACAGCAGTTACCAGAGTACTGCACTGTTATTACATTAAATAACTACAGATAAGAGGCCGACCTGGTTGTCGTGTGAATCGGTTGATAAAATAGTGAAAGTTACAGCACTGATGTAAACATCTGTTTGTTGGGAGCAGTTCTGATTGTGCAGTCTGGCAGCTGCAGGGAGGAAGGAGCTGCAGAAACGCTCCTTCATGCATCGAGGACGCAGCAGTCTGTCTCTGCAGCAGCTCTGCAGCAACATCTACATGCATGTAAATGTTGGGAGACTCTGTCCATCAGAGATGTTATTTTGGCCAGAGTCCTCCTGTCTCCCAGCACCTGCCCTGGGTCCAGGGTGCATCCCAGCACAGAGCTGGCCTTCCTGATGACTTTATCCAGCCTCTTCCTGTCAGCTGCCGATAAACTGCTGCTCCAACATACAACAAGTGTTCCTGTAGCTCCTGATAAGCCTGGTTGATGATAAGAGGTCAGCTGTGCTATCAGACTTTATCTTTTCTACTAATGTTTCTCTTCAGTAAAGTTTTCCTTGGTTAATTTCATTGTAACTGGTTCCAGTTGTCCCTTAATGGGACGGGTCACTGCAAACAGCTTTTACATTTTTGTTCTGATTGTGACAAACGTGTGAATCTCGTGCTGCGACCTTTTCACTCATTCAATCTGAACACGCTCTGACACTTAGGGAAGGTTTGGAGCCAGTGTGAGACAGAATGATGAGATTTCTTCTGCACCGCTGATCTTCATCCCACCTTTAAACGTCCCCATCAAAGGTTTAAGACCACCTAAAAATGGCAAAAAATGATATTTTTCATGGTTGGATCTCAACAAGCTTCAACAAGAAGAAATGGAGGGAGACAAAACGTTTTTTCAAGCATTTATTAAAAACAAAGCTTAAACTGAAACGGGCTGTTTTGCAGCTGATCAAGGACCACACCTCCAGAAAAACATAAACCCCCTAAAACAGCTGTGCAGCAGTATATACACATCTGTGCTGGAGGCCCCGGGGCCGACCCAGGACACGCTGGAGAGATTGCATGATGGTGGATGTGTGGTCTGTTGTTGATGGTGAATAATAATGACCGAAACACAAATCAAGCTGTTGCTATGGAAAAGTGCAAACTGTATTTTCACAGAACTATACATGAACTATGAGAGTGTGTGAAACTCAGACAACCTTGTGATTGTCTGGAACCAGTAACGACACTGAAGTCTCGAGCTGATAACAGCATTGAGGCTGTGGGGACGGTTCCCACAGGACGTCCTGTTGGCCTGAGCTCGTTACAGACATCTGACAGAATGTACTAGAGAAGGTCACGATGATACTGAGGCCCCCGGGGTGAGATACTCAGAGCTGGAGTGAATAAGACTTGTAGAAGGAAGACCTTTGAATGCTTGAATAAAATGGTACGACCTAAGTTGATTTACTGTGAGCACATGATCTTTCAGGGAAATTCTTTTGTAACAGCAGCTGAAATGATCAGTCGTTCTTATTATTATTGGTGTTTTATATTCTTCTGCTTAGAGTGGCGGGGATGCTGGAGCCTGTCCCAGCTCCCTCACAGCGAGAGGCCGGTTACACTCCGGACCACAGCATCACACCACAAACAGTTTCTGTAGTTTTGCAACAACCTGCACACAGACTGTACTGATGGCCCCGCTACGTGCCTAGCCTTGGATTTCGCCTCCTCAGCAGCCTTGAAGTCTTGTTGAACACGTGTGAACTCAGGAACACGGCTACAGGGACACCGGCAGGGCTAAGAAGCTGTTTGGCCTTCAGCTGCTGATAAATTTGTCCTTTTGCTCCGTGTCATCAGTCAGGGATGATGAAGAGCCAGCGTAAGAGAAAAACGTCCCTCAAATCTGAGGACTGTTTTTGATAAAGGCTTTGCCCATAATTTCATTTTGTTCCGTTGAGGTTGCCAGACTACAGCCTGGTATGTGGATAAAACACTACGTTTAAACTTTAGTTTAATATCCTATCAGATGAAAACGTGGCCACAAATATCCCTTCCTGTTCAAGAACGGGCACAAAAGTGCTGAAGCTGCAGGTGACTGCAGGTCCCGATGACTTGGCTTCACTTCAGCCTTTTATTCGATTTTGACTATTTTGTACGAGCGCTGCGTTCTGCGGTGCAAGCAGAATCATCTGCAGCTCAACCTGATAAAGCAAACGACTGTGGACCAGCTGAGGTCCTTTAACATGTGTAGGGTGACACCCTGTTGAGGCCAGTGCGTCCTGGATGCTGTGACATGCTGGAGCAGCAGGTTGAGGGTCGCAGATGCCAGCACACTCAATGCACTGATCCACAAAGCAGGTGATGCTGTGGGTGTGGAGCCGGACTCTCTAAAGGTGCTGTTGAAGAGGTGGATGTTGTCCAAGATGAGGAGATGCTGAAAAGTATCTCCCACCCACTCGGTGACGCGCTGGCCGGTCACAGGAGCAGCTCAGCGTCATGTTTCTCCTTAATGCAAGACAATGGACCAGCTCATTTAGTACTTTTATTCAGGTCTTTGATGTTATTGTCACACAGCCGTCCCACAGGTGTACATATAGTCCAGTATGACAGAAGCATGTGTGCTGTTTGATGTGACTTTAATGAACACAACATTTATGTCAAGTATCCCACGGTGGTTCACTGACGCAGAGACGCGCCTCCCTTCAAATGTTATCTCGTTTGAACTAAAAGTCCAACAGTGTCCTGAGACGCCGTCTGCAGACCGTGTAAACACAGCATGTCCTCTCCGTTACTTCAACAGGTGTCTCAGCTGGTCCTGCAGGTTTTTCGAGTGCTCCACACTGGAGGACAGAGGAACAGAACCAAGCTTACTGCTGAGAAATGCTCCAGCTGTTTCTCTGAGGCATAAACAGCTGTGGTCACACTTACTTCTTCTGAATGGCCTCCTGCCTTAGACAGAGACAGACAGAGAGACTTTACAGCAACCAGTTTAAGCAAAGCCAACAGGTTTCATACATGAAAGAGACGAGTGCTACTTACTGGTACTGTAAATGTGTGGTGATAATGGACATTTTTCTCAGGCTCTGCAAGAGATGAAGAGAGAGAGCAAGAGCACAGACACAGTTTTGGACCTCAGCGAACACCGAGTGTAAAATTGTTTTTGAGGATTTTCTTTCTCCAATAATGAAGCACATCTCATGTGATCGTGGAGATTTCCTCTGACCTATCAGAAGACTACTCACGTCCTCAGAGTGCAGGATAGCATCCTCCTGAATCACCATGCTTCTTGCTGCTTGACCGAGAAGCTGGAAGAGACATCCGCGGCAACGCAATCGTTACGATTATTCAATCAGTACTTCAACTGAGCAAACAAACCTCTATCACCATAGTAACATCTCACAGCTGTTTGTCACAGAAATATCAGGACAGCCGTCTGCAGTTGGAAACCCTGCGACAGACGGGCAGCGCGTCCAGGGTACGCAGCCTGTTGCCCTGTGACAGCTGAGCTTTGCTAAAGCAACCGTGGAAAACTCCACACCCACAGCACATTTAACAGAAAATCCTGAAAACAGGGAAACTCCTCAGGAAAAGGACAGCAGGGTTTTGTTCACTAGGCAAAAGTCTGTTTATTCCACATTACATGGTATTCTGGGATTTGTATCTCCTCCTGGGATCAAACTGGGATCAGGCAAACACTCAGACCCACTGGGTCGTGTTAGCGTTGGACCAGAAGAGTCAGTGTTTGTTTAATATATCGATTTGAAAGATTTGGTTAACAAAACAAAACGAAATTAAACCAGACGCCAGCTGTGCAGACGCACACTAACAATCAGGACTTACACATTTTTAACAAAAACTTCACTTCTCTGGCTTTTAGAAACAGATCTGTTAGGAAGCTTCGTTGAACTTAACTCTTAACTTCACAACAAAACAAGATTCACACGTCCGTGTGTTCGATGAATATCACAAACCTGACTTCCTACTATTATCATGAAGCTGCTTTAAAACAAACCTGCCCAAGTACCTGGAGGAGTTACTGAGATAAGTACACTGTGGCAACGTGCACACACAGACCTGCCACCAGTCGGGATTTCTCCCCACAGTCCAAAGACATGCGTGTGACGTGTAAACACTACGTTCACACGGTGCTTTCACATGAGTCATCTGCTTTATGTTCTTTCATTACAGATGTTTGTAGTAACAGACGCATCACATTTAGAACTGAAAACACGGAGTTCATACAGGACAGTAAATGTCTCTGCAGCTCAAAACTCACAAAGCTGCAAACTACCAGCAACAGAAGACCGTGAGTGAGCGAGTGAAGCACTGCAGCAGGTCAGTGCCCGAAGCATCAGGATGGCCCCAAACTTCTTCCCTCAGCCCATTTGGACTAATGTCACAGTGATATGTTCATGATCCCAGCAACATCCGCTGCTTCCTGCTTTAACTGTTAAACCTAATAATCCTCAACTTTCTACATATGTTCCGCTTTTAATCAGCAGGATTTTCAGTACAATACACACACGTGCGTTTAAATGAAGTCAGGGCACCACGTGTCGAATTTGCCAGAACAACAACTGTCAGCTGTTCACATCTGAAACACCTGGCGCCATAAGACAACTCCAGCTGTCAGAGCAGCCGTCCACTCGTGTCCTGTTTGATTAATAAACAATGATCAGCTACAGTAACGCATATATTACAGCAGCGCTCGTCTTTTGGTGGGTTTTATTTTCTTTGTCAAATATTGAACATAACAGGCTGAATCCTTCCAGCATACACACTGATCTAGTTCCTGTAGTGTTCCCGTTAGCTAACAATGGGCTTTCCATTAGCTAGTTGCTCAAAGCAGACGCTAAAAATCACTAAACTTGAGTTAAAATCACTTGCGTGGCGATACCTCCTGACTGCGGGATCCTTTTAGCACTTGACGTGTCAACGCGATAACATCCCCGCTGCAGGAGCCCACTTTATCGGATAACAAGCCTTTGACAGACTGTCCGAACCGCGGCTGGGAATCAGCTGAAGCCATTTTCCTATGTTGGCTAGCGATGGTGCGCGGGAAAGGACAAACTACACAGCAACGAGTTCAGTAGATTAGATAGGGCTCCGGTGCAGACGCGCAGTCTGGCTGTGTGCAAATAAACTCCGCGTGTTTCTTTCTCACTTGCATACAGTAAAATCACTTTTACTCCATTCTGTTCATCTAGCTTATTATTGACACGTTTCAGATGCGTGACGCTGATTAAAGTTGTACATAGGGTTGCCAACTCCCTGAAAAATAAATAAGGGACACCTCGTGGCCAGGGCCGGGCGACCCAGTTGTCTTCACCCTTCCCAGTGTGGTGAATTTTCTAGCTCTTTTTTTGTGTGTGAAATTATTTTTTTAACCATTTGACTTGAAGTTGATTTAAGTAGATGCATATTCTATTCTTTGTGATATCAACACATGTGAAACAAATGATCATTTAGCCATTTATTTTTAGCTCAAAATGACAACATTAACACAATAAAACAGGTTCTCTTCTTAACAGAAGCCTGTCATGCTTAACTTTTGAGAATATAAGTAAATCTTTCTTTAAAAGAACTCTGTCCTGCTTAACTTAAAATAATAGAAAATAATAGAAAGAAAAATATTCTTGTAACAGTGCACATTTAGTGCATTTAGTACAATTGGCTTCAGTTGAGGTATTATTTCAGCTTTTCTAAAGCTAATCAGCTGCTCCTGTTTGTAAACCCGCTTGTTCCCATGATTACGCATCTTAACTCATCATCATTATTCATCTATGTATTACTTTTATGTATTAGTCATCTATTTGTTGTAATCATCTATCCTTGCAGTTGCTTATTACACAAAATAAATTATATTATCACACTTCTGGCCACATAGCGCTGATATTCACTGCACATGCCCATATTAACTTTTTCCAGCCAGGTGTTTTCCTTTTCCCATTCTTCCCTTTCTCTGAGGGGAACAAACATTGCTGCTCTAATGCTGGGCTCACACTGTGCGATTTTAGGCCCATTTTGAGCCGATTTTTGAGTGATCGGACCGATTTTGGCCTTCATCGTGCGTCGTGTAGTATACGTGGGGTAACGAGAAGCGATTAACACCTCACGACCAGCTCCCGATCATCAATCGCTCGTGAGGTTCTCACCACAGCCGCTCACACTGCTCATGCGCAAACACGTAAACATCGGTGAAAAAGACGGAGCAGCACGGCTGTGCAGCGTGTGATCTGGACACAAGTGATGGAGGCACAACTTGTAGAACTTTAGAAAGCTCATCCGAGCCTTTTCGATGTGGCATCACAAAATTATCACGACCACAACAACCGTGAAAATAGTTGGATCTACACTGCTGCTCAATCACAGCTGCCTGATGAGTGTTTTTCATTAGCAATTTAGCAAAGTTGATGGTGGTGGTGTGTCTGTGTGAGTGAAAGACAGAGAGAGCGAGCGACAGATTGTCTGTTATAACCTTCATGTTATGGAGGCACAGTGTGAGCACTCAGGTCGCATCAGAGCATCGGGCGGTACAGTGTGAGACCTGCATCGTGACCTACCAACTTCTAACCCCTGTGAGTCAATCGTGCAGTTTGAGCAGGAGCTGAATAACGTGACTGAAAAAATCGCACAGTGTTTGCCCAGCTTTAGGTGTACTGTCATCCGAGACTTGCACCGCCGTGTCGGCGTTTGTTTCCCTGTTGGCCATGCTTCTTGTTGTGGTCATCTGTTGTCTTCCGGTATTTTCTCCGTAAGCGACCTTTCCTCGACCAATGAGATAATCTGAATTGTCATACTCGAATTGTCATAAGTGTGCTGTCAGCTCATTGGTCACAAAGCAGGAGAGGGGCTGGGAATTATGTTTTCAAACAAAGCGTTAATTCCATTAACATTTATAGACTACTTTTGATTCTCACTGTATTACGGGACAAAGTGCGTCGCTTATTAGCTCAATACGGGACGTGTACTTTTGTTTCTAAATACGGGACGATTCCGTTTTTTAAGGGACGGTTGGCAACCCTAGTTGTACAACATCCAGATTTAAAATGAAACTGTGGTCACATCATATCTTACAGCAAATCAAACTAGGAATGCTACAAAGCAACACATACTCCACCACAAATTAACTTCGTGCATTCGGCGTTTTCCTGCGTGGTTCCCATGCCTTTAATAGCTAACTGGGTCTTCTTTATGATGTCCTGCACAGTTATACACACTTTTACATGCGCGTACTCGCTCATTAAACTGACGTAATACTCACTCTACTAAGTAACTAAGTCCTTTCACACTGTTTCCTGTGTGTGCCTTTGTCTTGTTTTCTATATATTTCCTTTGTTTGCTATTTATTGATTTTACTTTTTCACTCCTGCACAGTTGGTGTGGAGCTCCTGTAATTTCTTTGTACGTGTACAAAGTCAATAAATGGCTATTCTATTCTATTCTGTTCTATTCTGTTCTGTTCTATTCTATTCTGTTCTGTTCTGTTCTATTCTGTTCTATTCTGTTCTGTTCTATTCTATTCTGTTCTATTCTGTTCTATTCTGTTCTATTCTATTCTGTTCTATTCTGTTCTGTTCTATTCTATTCTGTTCTATTCAATTCTGTTCTATTCTGTTCTATTCTGTTCTGTTCTATTCTGTTCTGTTCTATTCTGTTCTATTCTGTTCTGTTCTGTTCTATTCTGTTCTGTTCTATTCTATTCTATTCTGTTCTATTCTGTTCTGTTTTGTTCTATTCTGTTCTGTTCTATTCTGTTCTGTTCTATTCTATTCTGTTCTATTCTGTTCTATTCTATTCTATTCTGTTCTATTCTGTTTTGTTCTGTTCTGTTCTATTCTGTTCTGTTCTGTTCTGTTCTGTTCTATTCTGTTCTATTCTGTTCTATTCTGTTCTATTCTGTTCTGTTCTGTTCTATTCTATTCTATTCTGTTCTATTCTGTTCTGTTCTATTCTGTTCTATTCTGTTCTATTCTATTCTGTTCTGTTCTATTCTATTCTGTTCTATTCAATTCTGTTCTATTCTGTTCTATTCTGTTCTATTCTATTCTGTTCTATTCTGTTCTATTCTGTTCTGTTCTATTCTGTTCTGTTCTATTCTATTCTGTTCTTCTGTTCTTTTTGTTCTATTCTGTTCTGTTCTATTTGTTCTGTTTTTCTATTTCTATTCTGTTCTATTCTGTTTTTTTGTTTTTTGTTCTGTTCTATTCTGTTCTGTTCTGTTCTATTCTATTCTGTTCTATTCTGTTCTGTTTTTCTGTTTTTCTATTCTGTTCTGTTCTGTTTTTTTCTGTTCTGTTCTATTCTGTTCTGTTCTATTCTATTCTGTTCTATTCTGTTCTATTGTTCAGTTCTGTTCTATTCTGTTCTATTCTGTTCTATTCTATTCTGTTCTATTCTGTTCTATTCTGTTCTGTTCTATTCTGTTCTGTTCTATTCTATTCTGTTCTATTCTGTTCTGTTTTGTTCTATTCTGTTCTGTTCTATTCTGTTCTGTTCTATTCTATTCTGTTCTATTCTGTTCTATTCTGTTCTGTTCTGTTCTGTTTTGTTCTGTTCTGTTCTACTCTATTCTGTTCTGTTCTGTTCTGTTCTGTTCTATTCTGTTCTATTCTGTTCTGTTTTGTTCTGTTCTGTTCTATTCTGTTCTGTTCTGTTCTGTTCTATTCTGTTCTGTTCTATTCTGTTCTGTTCTATTCTGTTCTATTCTATTCTGTTCTATTTTGTTCTGTTCTGTTCTATTCTATTCTGTTCTGTTTTGTTCTATTCTGTTCTGTTCTACTCTATTCTGTTCTGTTCTGTTCTATTCTATTCTGTTCTATTCTGTTCTATTCTATTCTGTTCTGTTCTGTTCTGTTCTGTTCTATTTCTATTCTGTTCTATTCTGTTCTATTCTATTCTGTTTTGTTCTGTTCTATTCTATTCTGTTCTGTTCTATTCTGTTCTATTCTGTTCTATTCTATTCTGTTCTGTTCTATTCTGTTCTATTCTATTCTGTTCTATTCTATTCTGTTCTGTTTTGTTCTGTTCTGTTCTGTTCTATTCTATTCTGTTCTGTTCTATTCTATTCTGTTTTGTTCTGTTCTGTTCTGTTCTGTTCTGTTCTATTCTGTTCTGTTTATTCTGTTCTATTCTATTCTATTCTATTCTATTCTGTTCTGTTCTATTCTTTCTATTCTATTCTGTTCTATTCTGTTCTGTTCTATTCTGTTCTATTCTGTTCTATTCTGTTCTGTTCTGTTCTATTCTATTCTGTTCTATTCTGTTCTGTTCTGTTTTTCTGTTCTGTTCTGTTCTTTCTATCTGTTCTGTTCTGTTCTGTTCTATTCTCTTCTGTTCTATTCTATTCTATTCTATTCTGTTCTGTTCTGTTCTGTTCTATTCTATTCTGTTATATTCTATTCTATTCTGTTCTATTTTGTTCTGTTCTGTTCTATTCTATTCTGTTCTGTTTTGTTCTATTCTGTTCTGTTCTATTCTATTCTGTTCTATTCTGTTCTATTCTATTCTGTTCTATTCTGTTCTGTTTTGTTCTGTTCTATTCTATTCTGTTCTGTTCTATTCTATTCTATTCTGTTCTATTCTGTTCTATTCTATTCTGTTCTGTTTTGTTCTGTTCTATTCTATTCTGTTCTGTTCTATTCTGTTCTATTCTGTTCTGTTCTATTCTGTTCTGTTCTATTCTGTTCTATTCTGTTCTGTTTTGTTCTGTTCTGTTCTGTTCTGTTCTATTCTGTTCTGTTCTATTCTATTCTGTTTTGTTCTGTTCTGTTCTATTCTGTTCTGTTCTGTTCTGTTCTATTCTGTTCTGTTTTATTCTGTTCTATTCTATTCTATTCTATTCTATTCTGTTCTGTTCTATTCTATTCTATTCTGTTCTATTCTATTCTGTTCTATTCTGTTCTATTCTGTTCTATTCTATTCTGTTCTGTTCTATTCTGTTCTATTCTGTTTTGTTCTGTTCTATTCTGTTCTGTTCTATTTTGTTCTGTTCTATTCTATTCTGTTCTGTTTTGTTCTATTCTGTTCTGTTCTATTCTGTTCTGTTCTATTCTATTCTGTTCTATTCTGTTCC